CCCGTGTCCCCTGCATCGGCAGGCGGACTCTCAACCACTGCGCCACCAGGGAAGCCCCATCAAGGGCTTTTTATGTTCTATGTCAATGTTTCTCACACTTCTGTAAATCAAAAACTACCTGGGTACTTTCCGAAAATATACATTCTTAGCTCCATCCCAGAACCACAGAATCAGAATCTTCAGGGTCGGGGTAGGAGCCCAAGAAGCTGCATATTTTTCAACGCCCCCCCAAAAACACTCACCTCAGGGAAGTTTGGGAAATACTACAGCACACGCTCTAATTCGGGGGTGGTGAATTACGACCTGGGGGCCACATCTGACCCACCACCTATTTCTGTACGGCCAGCAAGCTAAGAATAGATTTTCTATTTTTTAAGGGTGGGAAAAAAGAATACTTTGTGATGTGTAAAACATATAAAATTCAAATTTCAATGTCTAATGGGAACTAAAGGGTTATTGGGACCCAGCCACACTCTGTTGCTTACTCGTGTCTGTGGCTGCTTCATGCTAGAACGATAAAGGTGAGTAGCTGTGACAGAGACCATATGGCCTGCGCATTTGGCAACCCCTGTTCCACTTCCCTGGGCCTCAGTGGCCCATCCCCATGGCCCTCCTTGCATCCATATGTTATACCCGAGCTGTGTGTCACCCACTGGCATTACCTGCAAGTTCACCTGCTGTCACCAGTCTCACATTCCAGGCCTTGAAAGACCCACCTCGTAAAGACGACTCACACCCCATCGTCCTCCAGCGCTGCTGTGGGAGGGTATGTTTGACACCCGTCCACCTCCAGCTCCTCCCCATTGCTCCCCTCCCCACCCAGGCCCAGTCATACCAGTGCACTCTGGTGCTCGGAGCAAGAATGCAGGGGACCCCTGGGCTTTGCTTCATTAGCACTCCCCGGAGCAGGGTAGCCCAGCCCCTCATATTTCATCCAGCAAGAACTGAACCCGCCCCACCCCCTAGTTTGCTAGAACGCCAGCAGTTCTACAAACTGGACCCACTAAACCTTGCCCTGGGCTGGCACTCTCCAGGGGGTGCCTATAAACACCTTGCATGGAACCTTCCTCTTCAGGTGGTAACCATCCTCATCCGCTGAACATACAGGCTCCAGGGTCCCTTCTCCAAGGGTCTGGTGCAACGATTAGGCCAGAAGCGCCTGCCTGCACCTGGGTTCTGTGATCTGAGCACTTTGCTCACGTGGGTCACTCATTCTGTGGTCCCCCTGGCCAAGGAGCCTCGTGCTGGCCCTGAATGAAGAGCCTCCCTCCAGGCTTCTCATAGGTGAAGGAAAAAATAATAATAAACGTCTCTCTTGTTTAAGTCTCTGATATTTTAGATTTTCTGTTCTAAGCAGCCAAACCTATTCCTAGTCCAAACCCCAGTGTTACAGACAGTGAGAGTGGAGCCTTGAAAGACAAAAAGGACCGCCCAAGGTCAGCCAATACGAGATCAACCTTTCAGCGCTTTACTTTGTATGGTTTGCGGTTTCTTGTGCACACAACATTTGCGTGTACATTTTTGCTCTTGTGCCTCCCTCGGTTGGGGACAAATGCTTAATCCTGCTCCCAGATAGCTTCGGGATGTTCTTTGCAAGCAAGGCAATAACCAAAACTTCACAACCACTTTCTTGCCAAAAGTCATTCAACTAACAGCCTGTTGGCATTCTTTGTGCTCAGACAGAACCCCCAGGAACCCCGGAGGACGGTCTACTGAGCCTAAGAGAATGGCAAGCCAGGACCAGGACAGCTGGGTGCAGGGCACAGCTGAGTGATGCCACGCCACACGGGTATGGCCACAGAGGGCCCTACTGGGTCAGCTCCATTGTCCCACCCGGACCGCCCTGCCCAAAGCAGCACCTTGGGAAACATGTGGAAGATCTCCCGGTTGATGTGGTAGATGCCGCTGGTGTCCACCTCATACTTGAGTTTCGTCCCCAGGGGCGTGTTCTTCTGGGTGGTGAAGAGGAAGGAGGGGGCATTGCAGCACCTGGACAGAGTGGACCTGCCGGGCAGGAGATAGACGGAGAGAGACCAGTGACACAGGGCAGAGCAGAGCCTCTCAGAGAACAGAGGGGTCATGGAACTGAGGCCCCTTGGGGAGGCCAGGGAGCGCCATACTTTCCCAAACACCCCTGCCCCTGCCCCCCGCACCTCTGCTTTAATACTCCTCCCAATGCCCCAGCCTTTCAGGGTCCAGCCTGGTCTCCCTCTGTGAGCTCCCAGCTGCCCTGTCCCCACTGGCCGCATTGGCTTCTAAAGGCCCACAGCACAGACTGGGCATCACTCGCTTCATCATCTGTCAACTCCCTCTCCGCTTGAACGAAAGCCCCTGTGCGGCAGGGACCCTGCCTCTCTGGATCCTGCACAATGTCAGACACGTGGGGGTCAGCTACCAAAGTCCTGCCAACTGCGGGCTGAAGTATTCCCCACATGAGATTCACAAGAGCCGCTAGGCCTTCCACTACCTCCCAGAAACGCTTCCTTATCCAGCTCTGAAGGAAAACACAGGCAGGAGAGCTCTTCCTTGGTTCTTGGCCCCCATGTCTGACTCTAGACAAGGCTAGCCCTGCCTGATGGGGTCAAAAAGCAAGACATACACAGTCCACAGAAATGTGCCATTTCAGTGATTTACAAACTGTCTTAGGAATAGGGGGAGGGTCAGAAATTGGGATGGTGGCTTGATACTGGATGACTGCCTGCAGAAAGTGGAACCTGGCTTCCAAAAGTTTTAAGGAGTTCATTATTTAAAAAATAATGTGGTTTTCACTGACAAAAACACTCAGACATGAGCTACAGAAAGGTTAAAGCTCACACGATGCAAGCAGGCTTAAAAAAAAAAACAGCCTTCAAGGGAGAGTGGGGCTGTGAGGCAGGCTTGGGAGCCAGCCAGGTCAGAGAATCCCGATTTTCTCTTCTCTGCAGCTGGTGTTCCGCCCGGCAGTGTATTCTCCCAGGGTGCCTGCAAGGCTTGGTGATGGGGTCAGATCCCAGGCACACGCTGCTCCCCTATCCTGGGGACCCAAAGCCCCACCCTGGCTGCAGAGGGGCTGGATTTGACAAAGGATGCAAAATGCCACCCTCTCACAGGGGGCTGTGAGCCCACGAGGACCCACTTTCTCCACAAACAGCAGCAGGGGGCCAGTACACACTGGCCTTCGTCCCCCAGCACTGGCTCTGGGCACAGTTACATCCAGCCTCTGGGCAGCCCTGGGAGGAATGGAACACCATCCCCATGGAGTCTGCATGATGACCACTAACTAAAGTTGAGGACGAGCTTTCTGGAAAACCCACACCGAAGGTGTGGCGTGGAAACTTGAGCCGCCAACCTAGCGCCAGGAGGCCTGGCTTCTAGTTTCTGCTCTGCACCCACCAACTGTGGGGCTTCGGGCAGATCTCTTCCCCTCTCTGAGCCTCCGTTTTCTCAACTGTAGAATGCAGGGCTGGCTCTTCTGACCCTCTGTAATCCTGTGACTCCAGATTGCCAAAGCCAGGAAGGCTGCGCCCATTGTTTTTTGTGACTTTATCTCTTGCAGGGAATTCACTGGGGAGCTCAGCTGGCTGCTGGCCATAGAGAGCGGTCTCTCCTGGGGAGGGTTGGATTTTAAAATGCAACTGAGTCTTCCCAGGGGCAAGGCCAGAGGCCTGGCCAGGCAGGAGCCATAGGTCAGCATTACAAACCAGCATCTGGCTGGTCCAGAAACTCCATTTTTGTCAGCCCACTGGCGAGTACCCAAATGAGGGAGACTGACCCAAACTAACCAAGCTCACGAGTGACTGATATATAAACCAGAATGCCAGTGTGTCCATTTGTAAGCAGTAGGGCGAGGGAGGGCCTCTGTTACAGGATTCCTTTCCTGTCACTGGAATGCTCATGCCTGTGTTCTAGCACACTCCCCCATCCCACCCCACTTCACTGCACCAGGTTCTTGCACCTAAATTAAGAGTCTCATCATCATTCAATGAGCTTGTAATGAGAGCAAAGGGGGACGACCAACTGGCCTTGAAGCTTTTCCCACTCAGAGCATAGCAAGAGTGGATGTCACTTCTCTTTCCCCCACTACTAGAAAGGTCTCAGCTCCCCCAGAGCCTCTCCCCGGATCGTGCTGGCTGATCCCTGCCAAAGGCTCCCCTGCGGATCCTGGTTTTTCTCTTGCCACATCATCTTCCCGTTGCTACATTATTTCCTTAGGTATGTGAATCCCACTGGCAAGGCTTCTGTCCAGCTCTCAGCCTGGACAACATCCTTTGGCATCTCACTGACCTCGTCCATGCAGAGTTCGATTTCAGTGTGGCCTCAGTGTGCTTGGGCCTCCCCGTCATGCACCACCTGCAGTATCGCTTCGCTTTAAAGGCGGAATTGGGGCTGCATTTACAGCACACACCTTGGACCCGTTGCCCACATTCTAGTCAATGGTACGTGGGTCTCTGCAAACTACTGCCAGGCCTTAGCTGGGTTTCTGCAGTCTCCTAGAGGCATCTGGTTGGGGGCTGCTGGCACCTGCAGCACGTTCCTAAAACGTGCCACTTAAAACTGCCTCTCAACTTGGCCCAGAATTGCAACAAACTGGAACAAATGACTTATACAGAAAATACAAAATACTTAGTGTTATTTGCTTTTCACAGCTTCCCGTGTAGGATTCCTTCATGCAGATGGCTCTTCAGCACATTCAAACTACAGCCTGAGTTGCTAAAATCCAATTTATACACACATTCCCAGGATTCTGTCAATTCCATTCAATAAGGTCTACCCTGCACTAAAAACATAGCATTAACTCCTAGGATTTGAGAGTGGAGAGGCCCCTATAGCTCACCACTAATCACAGAGACCGTCTGGACATCTGCTAGGCTCTCAAAGACAGGAGAACATTAAGATACAGCTCTTGCCTCCTGGGAGCTTATAACCTGTCAGTTTCTGTTAGAGAGCAGTTAGGGAATAAGCTACAGCAGGGCTCAAATGGCTGGTCTAGGCCGTTGAAGCCCAAGTGCTCTGAGAAGGAGAGGACTGCTAAGTTAGAGCAGCTGCCCGAGGAGCGGGGTGGGGAACGGGGTATGGAAGGCCATGGAAGATGCTTAATGTACCTGAACGCACGGGCCTCCTGGAGACCTCAAGCACCTCACCTCACAGTCAGGGGCTGTACTGGAGACAATAGCACTGACCACACAGGGCTGCTGCCAGGACTAAGGGCAGGGACATGGCGGACAACTCCCAGCAAGATGCCAGCCTCAGCCTGTGTGCTGAGTCAGAACCTCCCCACTCCCAGATTCCAAAGCCCAATCAGAGCCAGCTCTGGGGAAGATGTCCCTGGGGGCTGGCCTTGCAGGACGAGGGAGCTCTGAAGAGGTGCCTGGGAGGACCATATGAACAGAAGGGCTGGGGAGCACCGATGAGTCATAGATACTTGAACTGGTTGGCTTCAGAGATGTTCATCGCCCATTTGCATATCTGGAGGCTCTTCCACCTGTCGAACAGCTCCAGCTGCTTCACCCTTGGGAGCGGAGGACAGAGAGTGCATGAAAGGGCCAGGCTGGACCATGTCATCATCCCCAAACATGCTCCCTTCCTGTTGCACCTTATCCCAAATCCTGGGCTGGTCCTTTGTATTAACTGTATTTTCTAATTTGCTATACTCTTGAGTCTCTGGCATCTGTGGCCTTGTGAATTCCTAGAGATAGCAAACCACTCTCCTGCAAGCATGCCTTCCATACACACCTCAGCTAGTCCAGAGCCCACACCTTCAACCACCTCCTTTATGAACGGAGCCACTAGTCCCTGCCCTCATCAGCCCAGAGCTAGGGATCAGACAACCAGGGGCAGTCCTTATGCCCCAAAGCCCACTGAAATTATTCAAACTAGCCAATCGTGAACCTTTTTATCCTGCCTTGTCCATTCCTTTCCACGAAAACCACAATAAAGGGTCTCACCTCTGCTTTCCCCTCATCCCTTTGCCTCCTGACCAACCCTGGTGCTTCCCCATGTGTCCCTGCATGGTGTGCCATGCCTCCTGTCTCTAGGGATCTGTGAGCATGAGAATGTCTTCCTTCACAATAGCCTCTTGTATGTCTGTGTGTCTTACTATATGTGATCAAAACAAATCCCAGCACATTTTATTTTATTTTTTTTTTTATAATACACAATGTATTTATTTATTTATTTATTTATGGCTGTGTTGGGTCTTCATTTCTGTGCATGGGCTTTCTCTAGTTGTGGCAAGTGGGGGTCACTCTTCATCGCGGTGCGCAGGCCTCTCACTATCGCGGCCTCTGTTGTTGCGGAGCACAGGCTCCAGACGCGCAGGCTCAGTAATTGTGGCTCACGGGCCCAGTTGCTCCATGGCATGTGGGATTTTCCCAGACCAGGGCTCGAACCTGTGTCGTCTGCATTGGCAGGCAGACTCTCAACCACTGCGCCACCAGGGAAGCCCCCCAGCACATTTTAAAACACCTGCCTCACATGCCCACCCCCAAGGGCCTTCACAGTTCTCCCAGGAACATCTGTCTATAGAGGGTGTAAGACCACTTCCCTAAGGTCTGTAGATCACCCCACACTGTGCTCAGCACACAGTAGGGCTCATTGCAAGGGCACAATGCCCTTCTCTTTCTCTTTTCTCAAGGGCAGATCACAATTTCCAGTGACAGAGAGGAAGAGATGAGAAGCCTTTTGTCTGAACCACCATCTGCAAGGCTTTATGCCAGTTGGGTTTAGATATCTCAGCATTGTGACATCCCAAAGCACTCCCTGGAAAGGGAATGTCTAAATCATGTAGGATTCTTCCTTTGACTGAAACCAGCAAAAAGAATTGGATCATGGAACCCTTTTCCCATTGAGCGGTGCCTCTGACTGGAGTTCTCAGGAATGTTGGGAGATGCTGGACAGACCATAAGTTCCTTAAAGGCAGAGCCATAACTTTTGTCTCCTGACCTCCCACATTCCCCATCCCACAGTAAGGCATGATACAGTTGTCCAGGGTTACCTGGCTGTGGCCCGGTTCAGACGCTGGCTGGTCTTGGACACTGGTGCAAGGAGAGCCTTTTAAAGGTCATTCTGGTTTGGTCATGAATGGGAAAGTGACAAGCCCCCAGGAGCTGAGTGTTATCAAAAAACTACCATTAATTGTGGTTCTTACTTTGAGGTCCACCAAAGGTCTTAAGGAAACCTATGAACCCTCTGAATTATAGGCAAAATCCCCTGTCTGTCCACCCATGTGCACATCTTAGGGAAAATCTGAAGCTTTCATCAGCTTCCAAAAAAGGTGCATGATTTCAAAACAAGGCAAATACTTAACTGTAAAGTAAAAAAACAGGTTCATTCTGCAGAGCTGTGTCCCCCTGTGTTTAACTGGAGGGGGAAACAGTTGTTCCCAAACTAGGCAAGCCTCACCTACAGAGAGAGTATATGACTGGTGCGGGGAGGGGTGATTGCAGGAAAAGTCATACAGGATAGTGACTGAGTACATAGATTTTGGAACCAGAAGGGGAGTTGGGCCTCAGACCCAGTTTAGGCACTTCCTAACTATGGGACCTCAGGCAGGCTATGTGACTGCTCTGAGCCTCAGTTTTCTCACCTAGAAAATGGTCATAACACTACATTATTGCTCACCCACCCAGATTTGTTAAGACTACTAACTAAGACGATGCAATAAATGACTAAGAATGGTGTCTGGTATGTGGAAAGTGCCCTACAGGTGTAAGTTATTATTACTGTTAAACTAAGCTGTCTTGACAATGCTGACTTACAGCCCCCTGTACTTTCCCCTTCTGTAAAACCCATAACCTGTCCTTACCTATGCCTGATACTTCCCACTAAATAGTAAATACCCTGGGGCAGGGGATCATGCCTGACTGTGACTCCAGTGCTAAGGCACACAGCAGAAGAGTGGTAAATATTTGTTGACTATATCAATAATTAATGAATGAATCAATAAGTCTGAATTCAAATAAATTCTATAACTATTTATTGAATTCCTCGATATGGCAGGAACTGGAGATACTGTGGTGAACAAAAACACTCCCTGCCCACACAGACCTCACAAATGGGAAGCAAATATACAGGGATACGACACCGAAAGCACAAGCAATAAAAGCAAAAATGGACAAGTGGACCCCATCAAACTAAAAACCTTCTGCACAGCAAAGGAAATAATCAGCAGAGTAAAAAGACAACCCTACCAAACAGGAGAAAATATTTGCAAACCATATATCTGATAAGGGGCTAACATCCAAAATACATAGGAACTCCTACAATACAATAGCCAAAAACAAATAACCTGATTTTAAAATGGGCAAAAGACTTGAAAAGACATTTCTACAAAGAAAACATACAAATGGTCAATGCATACATGAAAAGGTGCTCGACACCACTAATCATCAGGGAAATGCAAATGAAAACCACAAAGAGATATCACCTCACACCTGTCAGAATGGCTATCAGCAAAAAGAACACAAATACCAAATGTTGGTGAAGATGTGAAGAAAAGGGAACCCTCGTACACTGTTGGTGGGAATGCAAAATGGTGTGGTTGCAATGGAACACAGTATGGAGATTCCTCAAAAAATTAAACATACAACTCTCATATGATCCAGCAATCCCACTTCTGGGTATATATCCAAAGGAATTGAAATCAGAATCTTGAAGAAATACTTGCACCCCCATGTGCAATGCAGCACTATTCACAATAACCAGGTTATGGAAACAACCTACATGTTCACTGATGAATGAATGGATAAAGAAAATGTATTATATACATACAATGAAATATTATGCAGCCTTAAAAAAAAAAAAAGGAAATCTTTCCATATGGGACCACTTGAATGAATCTGGAGGACATTATCCTAAGTGAAATAAGCTAGTCACCGAAGGACAAATACTGCATGATTCTACTCGTATGAGGTATCTAAAATAGTCAGTCTTATAGAAACAGAGTAGAATGATCAATACCAGGGGCTCAGAGAAGGATAAATGAAGAGTTGCTATAAAGTTTCAGTTATGTAAGACCAATAAGTTCTAGAGATTTGCTGTAAAACTTAATGCCTACAGTTGACAATACTGTATTGGACACTTACAAATTTAAGAGGGTAGATCTCATGTTAAGTATTCTTACCACAACCAGAAAAAAAACAAACCCAGATATTTAATGCCATGTTAGGGAGTGGTGAGTGCTACAAAGAAAAATGAAGCAAGGGACTTCCCCGGTGGTCCAGTGGTTAGGACTCCACGCTTTCATTACAGAGGGCCTGGGTTCAATCCCTCGTTGGGGAACTAAGATCCCACAAGCCACTCAGTGCAGCCCAGAAAACAAACAAAAAACCAAGTTAATCCATTTTAGAAAAAGAAAAAAGAAAAATGAAGCAAGAGGCTCTAAGGATATATCGTACAGCACAGGGAATATAGCCAATATTTTATAATAACTATAAATGGAGTATAACCTTTAAAAATTGTGTATCACTATATTGTACACCTGTAACATATAATATAGTACACCAGCTATACTTCAATTTAGAAAAAAAGAAATAATAAAAAAAAAAGAAAAATGAATCAGGGGTCGAAAAGTGACTGTTTCAGATGGGTTGATCAGGGAAGCCTTCCCTGAAGAGGGGAATCTTACACAAAGAACTGAAATGATGCATGATGGAGCCACGTGGATACATGGGGGAAGAGTATTACAGGCAGAGAGAAGAGTGAGTGCAAAGGCCCTGGGGCAGGAACCTGCCTGGCAGCTTTAAAGAGCTGGAAGGAGTCCCTCCTCTCATCCTGATGCCTTCCTTCCAGCTTTCCCAAACCTCCCACAGCAGCTCTTGCTTCTTTATCTCATGTGACATTGGAGGAGAGGTGCCATTACACAGCGGCACCCTTGCTCACCCACTGCTGCCCTCCCTCACTCCCTGCAACCCACAGGCCCCTAGGGCAGCACCCTGAACAGCCAATGCCTCTAACACCTCCAGAAACACAACCCTGGCAACACTGAAGGCCAGGGTCCCAAGTTCAACTGTTACCAGTGTCCAGGCCCCATCCTCTGTGCCTCCAATGTCCTTGTCACACACTGGATCAAGGTCGGGGCCTGGATACCCAGCCTGGAATCCTGGTTCCATCCCTAACTGGCAATATGACCTCAGACAAGTCATTTAATCTCTCTGAGACTCAGCTGCTTTATCTGTAAGACAGATATAACCTCTGCTCTGCTGATCTCAGAGGTTGTCAGAAAGATCAAACGAGGCAATATGTATAAAAAAATTTTATAAGTTGCTTTACAAATGCAGAGATCACCTTTACTCTAAGATGAAGGGTTGAGCCAGCCACTTGCCTCCTTTCCCCCAAGACATGACTAATATTCCAGAAGAGGGATAAAAAAAGACTAGATTTGCTCTGGGAACAATCTAAGAAGAAAGAGCTCTTGGGGAAAAATGAAAATTCATTAGAAAAGTTGGAAGGTAAAGTCAAGGAATTTCTCAGAAAACAGAAGCAAAGGGCAAAGAGATAGAAAAGATGAGA